CAAAGATAAAAACCCTGTCAATAGCACAGGGGCAGGGAAACATTTCACCATCCTTCCAAACACTGTCTCAGACAACCAAACAGAAAAAAAAACCCATTTTTTTAAATATAAAAGTTTGAGCAGGCTATATGGTTATACGTATGTTAATTAGTTAATTCTGGTTAATTCTAATATCATAAATTAAATGGGAGTACTTGTTTATCAGGGCAAACGAAAATAAGAACGTGATTGTATTTTTGGTCTCCCAAAGGACAAAGTACAAAGCCACACAGCTTTTAATGAGACAGTTGGAAACAACTATCTTCCTATCTTTCTTGCATATTTTTAAGTACTATATGAATATTTATGAAGAAAGTAATGACATCTCTTCAGAGAGCTGATGCAAATTATTCCACTCATGCCTGGTTTGGATATGCTACACATAACAATGTGTTTACTTACTAGTAACATGAGTATAGAAAGATCCAAACGAAACTGCTGTTGCCTGTACCTGACCGTATGCTCCCTTCTCACTGCAAATATTTAGCTCAAGCACTCATTTCACCCTTTCTTTTTTGTAGTAGGGCCTACAGAATCCATCTTGTTCTTTATCAGCACAGATTGACATGACTCTGCGTACACCCAACGTGGACAAAAAGTGGCCTTGAATAAGTTGCTTCTCTCGCAACCATGGCATGTCTGACTGACCAGAATACCTTCCCCATTCTCCTTCTTGCTATGCTAGACTATTTCACTAAACATAATGCCAAGATCGCAATTAAGTTTCCTCCCTTCTCAAAAATGTCCAACAGAGACTAAGCAAACTTTCGTGAGAAGCTGAATACTATCATCAGATATCAAACACTATCTTACTGAAGCAATTTAATTACATCATTAGCTTAAAGATGTTGCAATGGATGATTGCCTTTTATTAATAGCAAGTCTTGAATATTTAGTACTAAATACTTATTAATTATATGATAGATAGGAAATAAGGAAACTGCTACAGAACAGTTACTAAAAGCACCAAAATTACAATTCCAACCTCTATCTGCAGAATGTTATTACTTACCCCTACTTCACAACTCATATGACGTTTATTATCACATCTGATGTGATATTTAGAAAAGCAACCAGATGAGCATTGCTGGTGTGTGACACCTCAATTCTACTTACTTGAGCAATGACAGATTAAAAATAAGATCATACCAGTTAACATGGGAATGATTAATCACACATTGAATCTTTTAGCCATAATTAATACTCTGTACATTTAAATCAGTCATGTTTATGAGCTGTAAGTCAATCTGAATGAAATAGTTGGCTTTTGTGTGTTATCTGTTTTGAGAATTCAAAGCCTGGCTCAGCTTTGCCTTTAATGTCAAAATATCCAGGCTACTGCATGCATCATCATCAAACACAAAAGCCTGCACTATATAATGAATATGCAAAGTGTAGACAGCCAGCCAGTATCAAAGACCATCACAAATGCCTACTTCATTCTCGCCTGAATGAAAGAAGAGAACAGAGTATTTTCTCTCTTTAAGGAACTTTTGCTGAGAAATGGGAGGGTAACTATTTTTGGTGAAAGGCTGAACCTTGTTGCCTTACCCATGGTTTCTGAAGTCTGGCTGCCAACGACACGAAGAAGCATTGGCTGACTGCTATCTGACCTCTGCAGAGAGGTAGAAGGAGAGGACAGTGTGGTACCATTCACCTTGGCATCTGCCTGTGGCTAAAAAATGGAAGAGAAAAAGAGTTGATTGATTATTCAAAATAACTCAGTACAGTTCCACAAATCTGGTATCTCTCTCTGACCAGTCTTTAGAGATATGATTTCCTGGCATGTTATAGTTGTTGGTAACACTTCATACCGTGTTTGGAAGAAAAGCTCCACAGAGATCCAAAGGAGAGGCCTGAGAACTCACCTGTTCCAGCAGCTGCCTCAGCCTGTGCAGCTGTGACTCCAGCTGTTTGTTGTGATCCTCCAGAATCTGCATCCTGGCCTCCAGGCGGCCCTTGTGCTGGCGGAGCAGTTTGGCTTCTGCAATGAGTTCAGCATCCCGAGGACTTTGCGGCGAGACGGGCACCATCTCGGGGGGGGATGGCAGTGGGGACAAGCCTTTGTGGTCATGCTGTTGCTTCAGCCGGTCATATTCTGCTTGCAAGTTTCTGTTGAACAGCAGCAAGAAGGGAAAAGCTTTACAAAGCTCAATAGCATCATATATGGTATCATCTGCCAAGGACATTCAGAATGTACTTTCTGGCACCTGACATAACACACACAACTAACTATCTCTCAGAGGCTTATCTTTATCAGCTGTCTCTCTGCTCAAGCTAAGTAAACCCATGTAGGATCACACCTCACAGATTTGCATACAGCTGATATTATATGCAACTGTGACATAAATATTATGTGAAAGCTCTTAGAATCACATGAGTTCACAGTTCTCTCTCCAGAGCATACAAGGTAAGAGAAGAGTGGCAATGATTCAGACACCATCCAAAACGTAAGTCCTGGGTGCAAGTCAGACTGCCTGGCATGAATCCCCCCCACTAATAAATCAGTGCTACCAGAGTTCTTTCCTGCCTAGCTTTAAAATTATCATTATTTAAACTTATCAGCCTAGAATGAGGAAAAGACAATCAATGAGCCAATATGTTAAACTACACTTGTAACTTCTTGGCCGAAGCTTCCACCTTCATTTGGTCAGCACTATTTAGTGTGCTAGTATCACATTTAAAATTTCCTTTTTAAAATTCACTTTCTCCACTGAAACAGTCTATATGATTAATATGACCTAGAAGGACCATATAAAAAAATACAAAAAAAAAAAAAAACCTACCAAGCAATAAGAATACAGAAAGAAAGAAACTTGGAACCCTGTTAGGGACAGCAGTCTGACAATGCAAAAATAGAATCTTGCAGCAGAAAACACTGTACACAAGGGAGGCACAACAAACTGCACTGGGATTTTTTACTGCTTTCTAGAGGGAAAAGTTGGTTCCATGGGCTACAGCCTGAAACTGCTTATTCAAGTAGTGACCTAGATTTCTTTTTTTTATATATTTTTTTTTCATTTTTTTTCTTATTAGAGGTTGTGAGAAGAGGCATTTTTTGCTATTTTGCCTGAAAACCAAAATTCACACTGATCTTTTGGTCTGGAGACTCACAGCACTTCAGAAACCTTCCAATTAAAGTGTGAAGCACTTTTAAAGATCCATAATTGTCACCAGAAGTAGAATGAAAACAGTATGGGTCATTTCACATGGATAAGGAGGCAATACTCATGATAAAGACAGGTATCCCTAAGGGATACCTGCCATATATGACCCTTCCCTCTTCAGACAATTTAGAAGGTAAAAGAAAAAAAAATAAAAAGGCTAATCCCTTGTAGCTTTGGGTCCTTCCATACCTCTGAACTTCCTTCTCTAAAACCCATACAGACAGGAGACAAGAGAGAGAACAAATCTGCAGATTGCTTGAGAGAAATTGTTTTACATAATCTGTATTCTTTCATTTTTTGACACTCTGCATGTAAAGGATAAGAAAAAATACAGATCTAGGAATGAGGACTGACAAGTTTTTGAAGAACAGAACTCCAGAGTTACCAAATGAGAAAAAACTTTGGATGACAAATCAAGAAGGTGCTACAAATACCGTGGGTATTGTCTTCTAAGTCATTTTTTTAAAAAATGATGACTTTGCATTAAGAATTTCTAATCTATGAAAATTATCAGAAAGAAAGAAGGGCTGTACTGGATGTTGCCTTCCAAGTGACTGAATGCCTCCTGATACGTGTAGGTGAATGAACAGGTGAATAAAAAAACCCAAGAAAATAGAAATGAGAGTGACGATACATCATCTTATTGTAGACTACGGTTTATATAGGCTGGATTAAGCTCATTTTCATGTCCTGCTTAAACAGCTCAAGCACCTACCAGGACCCACAGACAGCAGCTCTCGGGGCCAATCTGCCTGTGCATCCCTGGTGCGGCCCCAGAACACGGGTCCCTCTCTGCTTTCTCCCCTTGTGAAACTTAGACCGGGTCTGTCTGGCACCAGGTCTGCAGGCCAGGACTACTGCTACACCATGAGGAATGGCCCACGTGCACAGCAGAGGCAACGCTTTACAAACAGCAGACTCCAAGTTGTAGGGGCTCCAAGTGTTGTCAAGCAAAATCCCACTTTCAAAGCAAGGGAAATTAAATAAATTCACCTTACCATACTTACAACACAATCAATTACCATGCTACAAAAAATATACCATTATTGCCTCAACTATCAATACACAGAAAAGTCCTTCCAGGAAATAAACGAACAAACAAACAAAAAAATAAAGACCAGAGAGTAACTAACTCAGATATAAACACCTTAATGTCTAATCCAAAATAGTTTAGAAGAAGAGAGTGTTCTTGCTTTATAATTAGAAATAAAATACCCATGGCTAACTGGATTCATTTCACTGACCAAATCCCACTTGTATTTGAGGAGGTGGTGTCAATCTAGTCCCATCTTTTAAGTAGTGGTTTCCAGGTAATATTTCTGATCTCAGCTGTGAACCCTGTCCTCACCACCTCAGTGCTTTCTCTTCTATTCTGCCATTATATCTGCCATCCACCTAGCACTGCAGAAGAACAGATGTATGGATTAAACCATAAGTGACGTAGCTCCAGTGGGCACAGGGAGAGTCCTAGTGAAGAAAAGGCAACAGAGCGGGAACAGTGGCGACTAGCTTTTCTCGCTTGTGTTTAATTCTGGTTGAACATTAATTGTCACTGTCTGGAAACTGAGAGGGCTTCAGACTGCAGGGGATTACATAAAGTAGGGCAAACCTATCGATTCTTTGGTTAACCACAATGAACATCTGATGATAGAACCACCGGACACTTTCTGATCCATCTCCATTAACACAGTGCTGCTACTAGCGTGGCTAGAAGCTGCCTTGCATGATTCTAAAAAAAGGGCATCATCTTCAGATTACAAGTGTTAAAACATTTCAGAACCAGCAAACGTTCTGACAAGCAATGAAGTTCTTTTAACCTGGACCCAGATGTATTTTCCGAGGTTTCAGTGCTAGAGCTGTTCTCAGTATCGAAGGACGTTGTACTTACTTGAATTGTAGCTCAAGGATGCTGTTCTCCCTTTTCCCTGCGGGATAACCATCCTATCTCTGCTCAGCACTAATATGTCCTTTATCTCACAGATATCAAATATCTACTTCTCTTCGATGGTGTAATTAATTGATGCATATTTAGTCAAACTCTAAACAACTGCTCTTCATTTGTACTTAGCATCACAATTTTCCATTTTGATTTTGGATCTGTAGAAAGACTTGTGTAGGCAAAAGTGTTTCCGCTTTCGCCAGTTACAAAGGCAACGTGACTAGGAATGTTGCCTGCACCTACCAACTGTGACAAATCAAAGAATCTTTTGATGAGGACACGGCTCAGAATATCTTTCTGTTAAACAGCTTTTCAAAAAATCAACACTGAACTCACTCAGAGAAATCAGATATTTGACGCTAAGCAACTAAGCTTTAACAGTTTATTTATCTGTGTTAGGAACAATAGATCTTGAGCACTTAACTATGATGAGTTATGATGAACTAACATGAACCTGGTGGTTCTTGACTGAGTTATAAAACATCTCCAGCCATGGATGACCTTAGTACACTGTACATTGCACATCGGCACAGCTTGAGCAAATCTCTTGGCAGCCAAGTGCATCCCTAACATGAAATTCTGTCAACTTGTATGCTTTTTAACTACTTACACCAGCACTGTACAGGTAAGTGGCATATGAGGCACGGTGCTGAAATGCCAGCATCAGGCACAAAAGTTGACACTTTAAATGTAGAGGTCTACAATTTAGGTGCCTGTATCTCAGCTACTTATTTTAAGGTCCTTCTATGCTTGACAGAGACCTAGATAATGAGGTCTACAGAGTGAGCTACTTTTATTCTACAGTAGAGATATAAAAACACATGAAGCTCTTAGTTTACTCCATTAACCATAAAAGGAGGTGGAGATGGGGGCTGTCTAGCTCACATGTGGACTGTAACACTGTACGGTGCTGTAGGTGGTACTGGCTTTGTCGGATGGGCAATATGAAACAGGGGTTTTCTGGGCACAAAGTCACCAGTGTTGCAGGTAACCAAACTCAAAGCGGTATCTACACATTTATGGCCTCATCCAACTAAACCCAACCAACTCCCCCATCAGTCAGGGTTTGTGAGCCACCCTCCTGCTGCTCCTGGTTATATTAAAACACCTTTACTGATAAATGTTAGAAAATGTCTCTTAATGATTAAAGAAAAATATATTGTCAAGGGTGTTGGGTATTATCCCCACAAAGGTACAGCTGAATTTGAGACTTTTATCACTAAGTACAGTAATATTGTTAGAAGAAAGAAATGTTTACATGTCACTGTAAAGAAAACACACAGGTTATTCCTGAACATCAATGTCAGTGATTTTTGTAGCTGCACCTTCTCACTATGGGTACAGAGTCCTTCCTTACTTCAGAGAATTAAAAGATTCACCAGATCAACTGACTTCAGAGCTGTAAGAAAGAGTGGTGCAATGATCAATAATATCAATAATATTTGGAACCTAATATATAGGAATAAAGATTTGTATTTACATATGCGAAAAAAAGTTGAAATGAAGAAAGAAATAATTTCAAAACTGCTACAAGAATCTCCAAGAAGAGAAAACAATCTGTTCTTTTTCCCAGCTCTGGAATAGTTTCAAGCTATGTGGTTAAAAAGGAATCCTGCTGCAAGCCAGACGTCCAAGGAACTGTCCACAGCCCTCAGAATGGAGCATTCACATGCTGAAGAAAGAGTATTTCTTATGTTTTCAGCATAAAAAGGAAAGTAAGAGGAAGAGGAGATAAAAGCATAATCCTCTCAAAATGAATGTCACTGAGCAAGTACTGGCAGTGTTCAGAAATGCAGCCTCACTCCACCACAGTTCAGGCTGGGTGACTTTACACTGAATGTCACAGACAAATAAAACTGACACATCTTCTCACCACTGGAAACAATTTCCATAAGAGAAATATTCAAAGCAAATTAACTGTGCTTGCACCTCTTTTAAACATTCATGAAAAAAAAAACATAGGAAGCTTGCAATGTAATCTTGATTTATGCAGCCTTAAAGAGCTGGGTAGTAAAGAGCTCACGATTTATTAATAATATCCATCACTTGCAGAATTAATTCCCTGGTGAGGAAAACCCAAACCCTAGTGGACCCCATTTGCTGAGAATTCTGCTTAGAGGCAATTTAGAAATTTGTGTTTCCTTTCATATCCCTACAAAATAAGAGTGGTTTGACGAAACGGACAAAGCTGGTAACTGAAACACCTACCCCCATCTTTCATTAGAGGGCCACTGTTTACACATGATGCTTCACACTGAGAAGATTGAGTTCCACTTCTTTAATTCCAAAATAAATACCAAAAGGAGCCACAGTACATTTAGCAATGCATCACTTTCCAGCTTTTGGCAACTATATGGAAGTAACTTATTTGAGGAGGCTTTTCACCAGTCTGAACATTTGAAGGAACTCTGTAATCAGGGGAAAACAGGGCAGCTTTGAGATTTGGGGTGTTTGTGCTTCTCCAGTAGCATGCAGCCCATCGCAGTCCCAGGGCAATTCAGGAAAGCCAAAGAAAGCTCAAAAGCTCTGATTAGAGAAGTCATTTTATCAAATTCTTGCTATAATACAGCTGGAAGCTGGGAAAAAGGTGTGTGAGAGAGACAGAAGTTGCCTTTTACGGAAGTATGTCCAAAAAAGGGTCAATTATAATTCTGGAAAATTTTCTAATTTTTCTTCATGACAATAAAGGAAAAGTTTTAAAAAATTCTTTGCAAAAAGTTCTGAGAGCGGCTTACCACAAAAACTATATGTTTTCTTTTTTAATGTGAGTACAATACATACTTAACTATAACAAAAGTAATATGCTGTTTTGGATAGACCTGACAGGGTGTCACCTATTTCTGAAATATATGAACTCTCAAGAAAATTTTAAAATGTTTTTGGGACAGTTCTATAATTGTTTGGATTTTTTTATTTTATATTGCAAGAAAATGATAAAAGCATTCTAAAGACTACTTCGTATATTGAGAAATGGTCTTATCACAAGATTTCATGTGATTTAGAATTAAGCATGAATCTGAAGGCCTAATATTGAAATGAAACAGTTTTACCAATTGAAAATATTCTCTAAAATGTTAGATTTTAGCAAATATAAAATATTTAAGAGCCAAATTTTAGGCATAAATTATTTAAGGAAGTCGTGTTTACTAGCTACAGAGGCACCAAGGTCTGAAAACTCTAGTAGATAAATAATTAATACCTCACAAGAAGTCTTTGCAATTGAAAAGAAAAAGTAAGAACTGTGTCACAGCTAGGTTAGTTTATAATTTGGATTATACATTTCAGAAGAATTCTAAATAGGCTACAGATCTTTTTAAACTGTCTAAAAGCAAAAACTCAAAATTTCAATTTCAAAGAGTCTCTTTCATCTCAACAAGTCAAGACTGAGATATTTGGAGACCAAAAATTGCAGTTGAAAACCAAATGGATGTCACACTGTTATAAACAGCTAAAAGGAGATGAGAAAAAGTAAAAACAAGAAGTAAAAAGGAGAAAGGCTATTTTAAAAGTAGGTGACTAGGGAGAGCAGGAGAGGAAGACAGAGAAATGACCAGAGTGCTTTGAATATCCCAGTATTTTCTGGTACTTAATGCATCTTTTCCAGTAACTGTGAGAAGGGAGGGGATGTGCTGAATAAAATTGCAAAATGGGCAGAGAGCACTAAATCTCCACTGCCCAAAGCCAGCACAGTGTACGCAGGCCAAGTTTTGGCCGCGACAGCAATACGGGGTGCATCTCCCAAGCTGGTGTGCCGGCCACTCGCCTTTCCAGGAGCAAACACCGCACCAGCCCGGCTCCAGAGGGGAGATGCACTCCAGCAACGTGCCCACGCAGCTCCCAAGACTAGAGATACCTGAGGTGAAACAAAACAATCCAGGTGCTTTAAGCTGGCACTGAGGAGGAGACCACAGTATGATTTACATGTATTTTTCCTGTTTCCAAACTAGAGATTCCCTATATTCGAGTGCTGCAACAACAAGCAGTGTTGGTTTAGAGAGCACTTTTGCAATAAGGTAAGAAGGAATATACATCTACCTGCTGGAAGAAGGATCACACAAGGAATTACAGCACAGTTTGTTGATGACCTTTGCTATCAAGTAAAATAAGTTCTGAACAACTCAAGGCAGGATTTTGTTCACTAGAAATATATAGAGATCTAAAGGGGCAATACCATCCCTGTCTGAATGGCTTATTTTTGTGACAAGAATCAGTGATTCTTCCTTGAAAGCACAGTTATCTGGCTCTGACAAGATCAGGACAAAGCAAGAACTTGTTCTCTTTAGAGCTTCTGCCTTACATTTTAAGTACAAGCTATTTATAGAAGCTTGCAGAGATAAGTGCAGAGAGACAAAAGTCATGATTTTGTCATAATCCATGAAAATCACAGCAGTGTGACCTCCACACTGTCGCACCAAAATAGACTTATCAAGTCCCTGCTCCATGAAGACCTTTTTCAGCCATAAAAAGACAGGTTGCTTGCTGATGGCATCTAGGAACTGAGGCTTCTTTCAGATGATCCTTTTTTTTAAGCTAACAAGACAAGTTTGGTAAAAACAAAGCAAACCAAACCCCTCTCTCTGTAGTAGCTATAATTGTGTCTCTAACATCAAAAAAGAGTAAACAGTATATGCTATAACTAAGCCTATAGTCTTATAGGCTTATAATCTAGGACTGGCAAACTTTAAAAAAGGTATTCTTACAGTATAGTTCTCATCAGAGATTCAACCTGGTATTTTTGATTTTAAGGCATAAATCCCAAAAAAGAATTTTTCCACCTATTTAGCTCAAGGTTATGTGGTTGCACATTTACCATTTTTTCTAACAGGCCACTTTAAAGGGTAGATACCTTTTTGGTGGGCAATTTATTTTGTGTACAGAGAGAAAACATTCCAATTTTTCTTTCTTCTTCTATGATCCAATACCTAGAGTTGTTTAAAATATAACCTCCTCCAAACCTGTAGCTAATTAGTACAAAAAACAAGTACCAGTTACACCATACCTCTTAACCACAGAAATCCTAAAAATGCAAAGAATGATAGCTTATTTCAAAATAGTGTTTTTTTTTTTCCACTTTGGAAAGCATTTTGGCTTTACGTATTACATATTAAAAGTTTAGGACTTGCTTCAAGTGAGAACTCTCTGCCATTTGGTGAGCAAAAGTTCTGTTTCCCCCAGCTTTCTGCCGGAAACAAATTCCTCGTCCTTTGTGTCTCATTACCACTCTATTGATCGGAAGCACCACTGAAGAAAATAGCAAATTTGCCCATTCCTCTTTATTTCTCACTCTCTTGTTTATTATTCAACTCTGAGGAACATTTAGATGATATGTGGAAGTGCCGAGAAATAATATTGTCCTTAATTCTGATTGCATGTGAACAGAGAGAGTTTTGTTACTTTGCAGATCTTAGTTTACTGTTCTTGGAGTAAGGAAAGGGTCAGTCAGTATTTTCATGAAGAGGTGGGAGGAATGTTACACCTTCTGTTCTTCGGATGGGTTTGCCTCCATGTACTCTACCTGCAACTAATTCCCCATATGGAATGGTTAAATTTTAGGAGTTAGATCTTCAATTTAAGTTGGCTTTCAGCAAGGGCGCAATGGAACTGTAAGCATGAGGGCATGAGAAAGAAAAGGTATTTTTATAAAGTAACTATTATAGCTAATTGTATCTTTAATGAAAAACACATGTATGAAACAAACTACTGGTCATATTAATTATCCCGGCCTCTAGAGAGCTCTAAAAATAGGTCTACTAAAAAATAAAGCTGATATTTATGGAGAACAGGCTCTTCCCTGAGGCAGATTTTCCTCAAAAATGGCAAAATAGGGTAAAACTACAGTAATGCTCTTTGAGTCTTTGAGATTTCTAAGAAACAAACTAATGGCAACAGTGAGGACTCATCATTGCACTGAAAGTGGGATTGAGTTAATGACTATACAAATTCAGTCTCATCAGCTCTCTCTTAATGAGAAGAAATTGAATGGACTGGGATGTTTAACAGAACCAGCTTATTTAAAGAGACAGCCTAACTACAGGGGTTTATTAGCTTCCCTTATTCACCTTTATTTGTACCTTTGGTGGATACTTGGTCACTGCTGCCAATAAGAACCTAACTCACCTGTTTTCCTCCTCCAGATCTGCAAGAATCCTCTCTAGTTCCCCTCTTTCTTCACTCTCCAGAGAAATCAAGATCTGTGCAGGGCTCCGAGGTTGGCTCAAGGGAGATTCCTGGTTCAGACTTTGGCAGTAGTGCTGGATTAGCAAGTGTTCATCATCACTGAAAAACAGGATAAAACAGACCGTTACCTTTATCATTTTTAACTTCACAGTGAATATGAGGAAAGGATTTTAAGTCTCTGATTTTTATACAGCAAAAACACTGAACTCGCTTTAATGAACAGCAGAACAGTGTATTTGAAATGACATCTGCTGAATTGCTTCACTTACTTAGTCTGTGGTAATTTTCCTTCTCCACAGAGTCTATCTCTCTTCCCCTCTGTTTCTGAGATATTTAAAGCTCAGTTTTTCCACAGCTGAAATCTGAGTTTTCCTTTTTCATCCAACTTACATTACAAGTTTGCTTGTCAGAAAAAGCCATCTTATGCTACCTGATCTGTGTTGAGCAAGGTTTACTCAAGCAAATGTGCAATCTCTCCTCATTTAGTAAAGGCATCCGCTAGTTATCTCTTTTACTCCTTCAAACTGTAAATTTAGTGAAATGAAATAAACCTTGAGTTAATCATAATTTGATGAAACCAGGCTGTTTAGACTACAGATTATACACCGTCAGATTATAAATATATTCTGTTTAATCCATTTCTTAATTTCTATTGCCCCTGAAACTGTCAGGCACTTGAAACAAAAGCAGCACTGGAAGAAACTAGCAAGTCCAGTTCTGAAGACCTTGACCACCTCGCAGAAGGAAATGGGAGTTCTGGGGGTGAAGTAATGCCTTCTGTCCCTAAGCAGGCCATTGACACCAGCAACAGTTAGGAGAACCTATGAGAGATGGCATGGGCACAAGTCAGTGACAGGAAGGAAATGACACTGCTGCTGGGAATCTTGTTCTTCTGGTAATAGTGACTTATAACACAAAAACTGTTTGTTATAGTATTTTTTTCTGCTACTTTTGAAATTCAGAATTTAAATGACATTTTGAATTGTAGTTATTATTCAAAAATTAAAATATTTCCTGTTTCCATTCTGTTCCTGAAAATGTTAATGATGCCATTTTATAGACTGCAGGAGGGCTAAAGCAATTTACAGCACATTAATGTTAGTTCATAAAAGAGAACCATTAATTTCTCACAGTAGGCATTCTCTAATTTTTTTTTAAACAAAATTCTAAAGGTTCAGTAGTTCCTAAATTTATACTCTTCATGAAACATTTCAGCTTTTATTTCATTTAGACAACTGGTTTGCATAGATACATACCCTTATACATCTTAAGTGAATTAATGGGGGAAAAAATTATTGCAGTGCTAAGCAGATTGCCATTTTCCAAGACATACGGCTCGTGTCATTTTCAGCCTGCACATACTTGTAGATGAGGCGCTTAGGGACAAGGTTTAAGAGTTATGGTGTTGAGGGGCGTATGGTTGGACTCGATGATCTCAAAGGACTTTTCCAACCCTAAGGATTCTATGAGTCTATGAGATTCCTGTGTGTTGTATCTGTATATAGAGAGACTCCTCCTTCCCTCCCCATATCAATCCATCTATCATTCCAACTGCAGTTATATATCAGGTAATCTAAAGCCCACGACAATGTCAATAAATAAGACTGGAAGTACAATCGACATAAAAAACCTCAAAGTTACAGCTCAAATCTCACTTAAGAATGAAGAATATTTGGAGGTTTGATTTTACAGCAACTTGTATCTGTATCTCAGTTCTTCCAAAATTCAGAAGATACAGTTATATTCTGATTTTAATATTGAAAACTGAATGACAAACTAGAAAGTCAGTTGTTAGCTTACTAACTTAAGCACATTAATACAATCTTAATTAACCAAAGATTGAGTTGAACAATAAGACTAAAGCATGATACGAAAAAGGCAGCCTGTGTATGATCTTGCGCATAAAGGTACACAAATATTTCACCAAAGACAACAGGAACATTCATATGTAACAAAACTACTACTAACCACAACAATCCAAGCTTAATACTAAATTTGGAAACTGGGTTTTATTAACTATGTGAGACTCTGCTGACATTATGAATGTATGTATTAGTTTTGAGATGACATTTTCATTTTATCCTTTTTGAACCAATAGATTAAAACAATGGTAAAGTATTTGGCTATACACAGGACTTCCTTTCCAAATCGGTAGGTAACAATCCTTCCAAGTCAAAAGAGAAACTATTTCAAAAAAAAAAAAAACGAAAGAAACTGCTTTATTAATATCCAAGAACGTACCACAGACTGACAACCATCCTTATAAAATACTGATGCCTTGGAATTTGAACTTAAGTGAATCAAGTACTGTAATTCTGTGCTCTAAAAGTACTTCAAAAATTTAGCAGAAAGAAGATATCATCTGAATTAAAAAAGAAAAAAAAGTTAAACTGTGATAAGAATCACACTACAATATTAAAAAAACACAAGAATATTGCTACTTTTTACATATTTGATTCATTTAAAATCTGTTATGGCTCCTTCTACAACGTTAGTTAACTTAAGAGCAAATTTTGAAGCACTCCTAAGACTTCTGGGCTTATAAGCTCTTTTTGAAAGCACTGCCCAGAGTTAGTTTTCTGGTTCTGTGCACTCAGCGCCAAACAAGATAAAGAAAGCTCTGGAAAAGGAGAAAGACACGATTGTGTCAGAAAAACACAAAAATGTCTCAATGTGATAATAAATTGAACACATTTTTTGAAAAAATTTTAAATAGGCTTTTATATATGGACAGTGACTTTTATATATGATTTTAAATATAAATTAGCAAAATGAATACTTGTCAGTGATCCGTCCAGCCTGTGGTTTACTTCTTTTGATATTTCATGGTAAGGATGAGTCACTCTTTCTTACATTCTACTGGCAATGTATTTCAGTTATTTGTAGAGGAATGATTTCTATATAGTCTCACAAGCCTCTTGAGTGACATTTTCCCCACGACAATGTTTTCTAACTTACAGAAATTTAGTCATGTTAGAGCTTGCAATTCAGATAAAGGGGGTGCCTATTCTTTGTCCTTGAAACACCAGGTGATGAACATTTTTTCCAAGTAATATGGCAAGTAGAGAAATTAATAATTTTAATTCTGAAAGTGTTATCCACCTGTTGCATAAATTAGGTAAACCATAAATCCAGACACCACTATATAAACTGAAAGAACATGAGAAATTTATCATGAAATTGGACCAGGTGTGGGACATGGCTGTGTAAATTCTGGTTTACGGAATTTTATTACAAGTGGTAAACCTACACAAGAAAACATCAAATATATTATAACAGTCAACTTACATGCTTTCGTTAGGTGAAATACTGTCATTTAGATAAGAACCATTGCTGTTCTCCATTTCTGCTAGCCTATGGAAAAATAAACAAACTCATTAAAATCAACAGCCCTTTTCAGAATTTTTGCTTGCTCTAACATTCCTGAAAGAATTAAAAAGTGCCATGTTTTTGATGACTTAAGAGTATCTGAAACACAGAGGACTTTACATTCACTGTTGGTTACCAAGAGATTTTGCAGTAAGCGATCAAGAGTAATTGCTTATACATTACAATGACCTGTTTAAACTTACTTCTAAGCTTTCACCTTGTCCTCTGAGGTTACGTTCAGCTTCTCCTGATTAATTAAGTTCACAGTCAAAGACAGGCCTTAAGATGCCAAGGGAATTCACAAATTGTTCTGTATGTGTCAATGTCATCACAGAACCGAAATGATCAAGCAGTTTTCATTGGTTTTCAACATTTAGATTCTCCTACATATACTGCATAATTTAAAAAATATCTCAGTTGATCACGTTTTTTTTAGAGGGAGGGAACGAGGAAATTGGAATAATTATGTTTCACTGTATCAGCCCTCACAAATTAAGCTGATCGTTAAAAAAACTTTTTTGGGGGTATTTGTGTAATTAACTCACTTTCCAACTGTTAAGAGCAGTATGGAAGTAGACACGTGAACTAAATCAGTGATATACTACTATTTTTATTCTCCAAATGAAAGGTCCTGACTGCAGTACTTCTTACGGTGAATTACTTAACATAGAAATGTGAATTAAATAGATTCATGTACAGTTTGGAGGATTCAGTTCTTGTGATTTACATAATTACATCTATATTAAAAATAAACCAGTTTGAATGCATGCCTGAACAAAGACCCCCACAGAAATTAAAGGCCATTTTTAATCACATACATGCTCTGGCATGCAAGTTAGTTGATGGAATGATTAGTAGCAGTTAGGGGTTATACCCAGCATCTCAGATCTGGGAAAACAAAACCAAAACCCTATTCTTCTTTAAGAATCATTCACCTCGCTTGTGGGATTGTTTAAAGAAAGATTTGCCTAATGTCCAGCTGGTCTCCTACCTGCTAGCATAATGTTCAATGCGTGAATGAGTATCATCATGTGAAAGCTGAGGGGACGAGGCAGGCCTATAGGGCAGAAAACACTGATTAATCACAAACAATACCCCCTGGCAAAGTCAAAAAAGTCACTTAGCTATGTCTACGTCCTAGCAGTTCTGTGCCTTACGCTAGGGTTATGCTTGATAAACAGCAAGCTACACTTCTGCTCAATGCGTGTGCTTCCTCAAGTCAGTGCTATTGCGCTTTGTCATCCCAGGCAGGATTGTGACAATTTTGCAATTTGTCTGTGGTGGTGATTTCTCTCTGTACACATATCTGAAGAACCTTTTCCCAAAGGATTTACAGAGGAGCTTTCTCCCTGGTTTTCCTTCACATCTGCCTGCTTCATTCACAATCCTGCTTCACTCACAACTCTGCAGGTGCTCTGAAAGCCTTGCTCTCATGCCCTCAACCTCTTCTCTATCTCTTTCACTGTCCCAATACATGTTTCTAGTCTTGCAGAAGCATGTTCCACTTAAACATGCCTTTCAGTACTTACTCCATGATCAATCAGGAACATATACACAAAAGATAAAATGTCTGAAATGAGCCTTTAATAACACGCTGTAGAAACTGATGAATTGGTCTGGCTTCTTTCCAAAGTTGCAATTTGAACCAATAAATCAGTGTGCTGTAGTGCTGCTACCTGTTCTAGTTTGGATCTTCTGCCTGACAAATGAGATGGTATGAGATCCTCTTGGCTTTTTTTCTGTCAATCAAAAAAAAACTAATGGGACTTTTCACAAGAACATTGTTCTGGCTTGAATCTTGAACACTGCAGTAACGCAGTTAATAAATATGCAGCCATTCAGAAATGGCTGTACTGGTAAAAAAGTGCTTTAATGTGATGTGGATTTTTGTCAGTCTATGAGGATGTGCTAGAAAAATAAAAAATGGTTCAACTTTCCAGACTGCACAACAACTTCAAATTTTAGTCAAATTTCACCTTCTCTGTGTCTCTGTTTTGTTAGAACTCCTTTCTAGAACTGCTTATGGATGAAATATTTTTTCCTCACTTACAAATGTTACATCCTGTGGTTCAAACTGGTTCTGTCCAGTGTAGATTGCACTGTACTTCAAAAGTGGATAAAATAACTTCTGTGTTTACCGGTTATAATTCAAAAGTGTAATGGTCTTGTATATAATGTTCCTGCTAGGAGCTGGTAAGTGTGTAGCAGTATCACAACACACCACTGGTCACCTTCCAGTTTTCACATCGGCCTGCAAAGTGCTTAAAAATTAGGATCCTAACAGTATGTGGTAAATACAAAAGCCATTATCATCAGTGGTTCTTTCTCAGGGAATGAGAAAGCTTTCCTCTGTAAGACATTATAGGTCAGGTATCACGAATTCCTGAGGTGAGCTTTGGTTTCCGCCTCTGAATTCACCCATCATATATTCAAACACTACCAGAGCAAACCAGCTAACAGATACTCAGCTCCCGGAGTTCCTCACTACAACAGAAATGCCTGAAGATGGGCAACTGATTCTCTCCAAGCCAACATCTTATTTTGCATTACAGCATCAACATTGAAGGGAAGGGAGTGGGAAAACTGTAATTTAGCCACAGCAGTGGATTATGGAGCAAGATAATAGCACTTTTCTGATAAAAAAAAACCCCACAGTTAGCATTGATTTATCTGCTTGGCATACAGTATGCTTTAATCTGATCAAAATGGCTGACTACTCATGAAAGAAGAGATCTTGTTCTCAGTGCACATGTTGCATTTCTGCTACTGTATCCATATAGGGAGTATGTGTTAAGAGCAGCCTTAGTTTTGAACAGGATCATTCTCCTAATAATGTTTCAATGCTAGGACTGCACATGGGTTTGTACAAGTACAAAGAAAAGCCCCTGGTTGGAACCAACAGGCCAGCGGAGGTAGATGAGATGCTCCCTTTGGCAGTAGAGCAAGGCACAGGATTCAAACTACAGCCTGCCCTCATGACTGCTTAGGACTTGCTTTGAAACTAAGCTTTATCATTAGACATGAACAAGGTATCATTTCAGTGCACCAAAGAAGTTAAACATAAATTGAGAAATAGACTTAAAAATATGAATATTAATCTAGCACATACATCTGATCATTTTAAAATAAAAAATTAAGACAGTTTTGTCTTGCAGTCTGTTATGTAGACACACTCCTAGATGATCACCAGCAAAGGATTTCACTGTCCTTACTTTCTGAGGTCATACAAATTTGATTTATTAGCAAGGAGGTTTAGAAACACAGCGATATTTAACCAAGACACAAATTCCTTTCACTAAGACACCATAGTTAAATTTTTCAAGGTGGTGTCTGTGTAACAGCCTTAAGAATTCCATTAAAGTCAAGGGGTGCTTGAGGGGCAAACACCACATGCTGCAAACCTCTCTGCTCCTGGAAACTTGGGTGAAAAGATGAAGACATTTTCCTTGCAGTTCAGCACTTCAGCTGACGCTTTTTGAAAGTATGGAATCAGGGAACTCTCTTTGTCCCACTGACAGTCCCTAGTCCAAACAAAAAGAAATTTTGTCTTGCAAAATGCCTGAGTTGCCCCTTTAATGCATGGCAATCAGAATATACGTAAAACATCAGCTAATGAAGTCAGCTGTCACTAACTTTTAACAGAAAGTATATATATATTTATATTTATCTCCAGCATTATAACAAACTGCTGATGTCAGGATAGTGATAGCACTGTCAAATGCTGCCAGGTTATGCTCTTCTCAAGGACTTTGGAAATCACTCCCCCAAATACCCCAAAAGAATAAGACAAGACCTCAGAAAACACAGGAAAGTCTTCTGATAACAGAGTAAGAGGTTTGACCACCAAAGCTGGAATTAGCCTTGTAACTGAGAAACAGTCTTAAACCTGGCTTGTTCAGTAACTTGCATTGTAAGCCTGGTGACCTAGCACTACGGGAAGGAACAAAGCTATGAAGGCCAAGAAATATTGTTTCCACTTTTTCATTTTCCGCTTTCTCCTCAGGAGAGGAGAAGTGAGCGCATTCATGAAGATACCCGAGCTGGCTGGCTAGGCGTTGTTACCTTTCTCTACATACCCTGCTTCCCGGGATATCTCAAGCATTACGTGCAGTGCAAAATCCCTGCAGTTTACGACCGTTAGGCTTTGGTACGAAGCTGTTATCCTAGGCACGCCACAAAGCTACTGCTCTAAGTAAGTGAAGCAGGGGCCCTGCGCCCGCAGTAAAGTAATGCTGGAGCAGCTTCATTTTATGTTATTCCAGAAACAGCAGTGACATTCCACACAGCATCCCAGCTTTAGTTAGGAAGGTATTTTTAACTTCTAACTTCTCAATTTGTGTTAATGACTCTAGAGCCACGGCTTTGTACGTGGTACGCTGCAGTTTACACACTCAAACGCATCCCAAAGTCCCAAGGCCCTCTCCTGCAGGCCGGCTCCAGCCTTTGCCATTTCCTGGGGTGGATCCTCAGCCACATGGGGGTTGCTGCAGCAGCACGGGCGTTTCGTGGTTGCTTCAAGTCAGCTCCCGAGAGCAAGAGCTCTTCAAAAGCTTGTGCTCCAAAGGTAAATTATAAATCAATATGCCAATGGATACTTTTCACTACTGTTTATTCTACCAAAACTTCAAGGAAGGTGCAAGCCATATATACATTTAACCATGTTACTAGAAATATATAAAACTCTATTTATTAGTATTTCAATATTTATCAGTATGTGAATTAAAAATAATCGTTATTTAACATTACTCTAAAATTAGCTGTACCACACAGGTAGTAGCAAATGCCACAATGTTAAGTATATATCTTTAGTTTATTCTAGGCGTATTACTACAACAGTAAGACAATGCTTGTGCAGGAATGGTGCAAGAATGAAAATCCAGTTCATTGTTGAAAAATCTTGCTTTTTAACTTCTGAAAAAATACAGAAGACACATTTCTCCATCTTGATCTCCCTTTACAAATCCTATTATAGTTTTTATTTAAAAAAAAAAAACTAAAAAAATATCTAGTGAGCTTGGATTATCAGGCACGTGGATGTGTGGGTTTGCACGGATGTGCATAAAATCTAAAAAAGGCCCTATATGCAAAACAATGCCATTTTGGAAAGTGAATTAAACCTGTGAAGTTCAATTTTTATCTTTCAAAAAGCATTCAGTTTGCATTCAAGGGGATCCATACTTATCCAGAAACACAGATTTTTAAATGACAAGTTCTCAGAAGCATTAGTAGGACACTGCACCAAAATTCCTTAATTCAGTGAAAATACATACTCCAGACAGAGTATACAGTGCACGCTTCATGGCTGCTGGGAATTGCTGGTTTTATCCCAATCTATTAGAAAGTCTACCAGAGCAAACAATCGCACAGGAAGGAGGAAATGAACATATGTAAAACTAAACAAGGAAACGAAACAAAAGGAAACGCAAGTGGGGGAAGGCAGCAGCAGCAGCAGTAGCAGCAGCAGCAGCACACTCCAGCAAAAGTACTCACGCAGAATCTACTGGCCAGAAGTTGATCAGAGTAACAGGACTGCAAGACAAAAAATGAGGAGGTGAAGAGAGAGGCAGAAGAAACTCAGCAGCAAAATAATTACAGAAAGTTAAAAAAAAATAAAAAAACACAATAACTGAAAATGGAAAATCCAACAGACCAACATGAATGGCCATGAAGAGCAACCAACCAAAAAGTGAAAAAAAAATCTAAAAT